ATAAAGCTGGAATGAATAACAAGTTTTATAAAAACCTCTCCCACTGCGAACCTGCTCCCCTCCAATATTCCCCATTCAGTGAATGGCATTCTCCAGCCACCTCTGACTCTTCTTTCTCCCTCAACACCAATATCTAAGCCATCAGTTCTGTGGATGTCCCCTCCAGATCTATCTGCTTTCACCATCCCTGCTGCCATCAGCTTCACACAAGCCAAACCCCGCAACGATTCCCCACAATGGTGGGTTAAACACCCAGACCTCACCAGAGCCCCCCCAGGCCACTCTCCCTGCGCCCTCAAGACCGGCCACTGTAGCTGGCTTCCTGCTTCTCTCACAGCCAAGTTTTGTTCTGTGTGGTTTTTTTCCTCCTGAGGCCTTTGTCCATGTATTCTCCTTCTGCCTGGGGAATGTTCTGCCACTTTCCACGCCTTCTCTCAGACCTTCGCCTGTCCAACTCCACGGAAGCCTTCAAATGTCATTTTAAATGCCATTTCCCCAGAGGGCCTTCCCAGCCTGTACTCTTCACCAATTTCTCAGTCTGAGTCCCACCTCCCTGGCCAGACCCACTCGCACCGGGGACTCCTCAGGGCACCTGGAACAATGACTCCCACCTGGCAGGTAGGGGTTACTAGGGTCTTGCTGGGCCTCGGCTCACAACAGGGCTTCCTGGCACAACCCCTGCCACCAGCATCTGGCAGAAGAGCAGCCCTCGACACACCCGCATGTACTGGATAGCGAAGAGGATGCTCTCAGGGTCGCTTTTTGTTGTTAACTAGGAGTAAGCCTCCCCACGCCCTGAACTCTTCAGAAACCAACAGCAGAAGGCCTGCCATGCCCCCCGAGCTGACTTGAAATGCTCCCCAGCGCAGACAGCGGGGGCTCCTCTGAAGTTCTGACCATCACGCCATATCCCATCAAGAGTTTTCCGCTCGCTTTCAGCGTTTGTGCAAGAACAACAACAACAAAAAGTTCACGGCACAGTCTGGAGGGCTCTGCTCCTTGGGGCTCAGACGGCTTTCTCACCCCACACCTCGGTGCTCATCACCCCGCAAAACACCCGAGACCAAGAGCCGCTGAGAAATGTACCCTAAGGTAGACTCCACCTCCGCTTCAAAAGGAAACCCCCAAGACAACGTGGTGGGAACTTCTGAAGCCTTTCGCCGTTTTGTAAGATACACGCTGTACCAAAACACCACCATTTGGGGTACAGAATCTTTTTCTGCCGGATACAAAGGAAGTGAAATGAAAGCCTTGGTACAAAGACACCGGGGGTGGCGTCCAGGGAGCAGCCTCGAACCCCTCTGTTTACCGGCCCTGGAGGCAGCCCGGCCAAGACTCAGGCTCAACCGCTTACACAAACCAGCTGCCTGGCGCTCATTGTGGACAAAACAATTTTAAATATAAATTGAAAAACACCACAGGGAAGGAAACATGAGCTACTTCTGTGAATGAGAAAACAGGACGGGAGGCTGGGAGGGGAGGAGAACCCGGCCCTTATGGATGGTGTCTTGGAGACTTTTAGGAAACAGATGAATGGGGGGGGGGGGATGGAGAAGAGAGATGGGTTTGTGTGTAAATTCCTATTTTTTGGCTAGCCCCCCCCCCTCCAAATTCAAAGCATCATCCTTGAAGGATAAATTATAACAAACAAGATGGTGTAGCCATTACAGGAACTAAAGTTCATAGGGCTTGCTTCTAAATTTAAATACTATTTAATCAATTGAACTCCACTTGTTGAGAATGTTTATTCTATACATCAATATTTTGTAATGTGGTAATCCACATACCACAGGAAAAAAAATCCAGTCCGACTAAAATATTCAGACAAAATGCTTTTGGCTCCCATGTGAGAATTCTGCCCCAAATATGGACCGGGGAAAAGTTACTTTCTTAGCAGACTGCGACAGTGATAGTCTCCAGTGATTACTAACAAACACTGAACACTTCTCTACTTTCAAAAGAAAACATTCGAAATCATTATGAAACTGCTTGGCCCAGAAATCACAATAACTTCCAATTTCACAGAAATTAGAAAGCAATCCTTGGACAACTATTTTGAAACACGTCTTATGAAACGCTGTGATGTGACAACATTTCCTTTAAAAAAATGAAAAATAAAATGTGAGGAAGAGCCCAGTGTCTGGGTGAAAACTGGCCATTCATCAGTGCATCTCCACATGGACCACAGTCTCTGGCCAGCGTTGAACCAAATGACACATCATCAGCCATAATTCAGAAGGACCCCTTTATCCACACAGGCATCCTGTACCTGCCAGGCCAGTTCCGGTCGGCACATCACTCTATGTCCAATGAAAATGCAATGAGAAATGTAGTCCCAAGGTGTATGACTCCTCAGTCCCCAAAACTGTATGTGGTCAACAATCTCCAGCCTTGTTCCACCTACTTTCCATCTCCCTCTACTAATACCCCCTCCCCCCAT